AACATGTGATGTTTATCTGTCTAGGCCTGGGTTACTTAGTATAATATTTTCCAATTCCATCCGATTTCTTGCAAATTTCACTTTTCTTTATACCTGAATGAAATTCCAAGATGGAATCTTGAAGTAGGTTTAAACTGCATTTCCTTGATGGCTAAGAATGTTTCACACCTCTAAAACTGTATACTAGCCATTTCTATTTCTTGTTTGGAAAGCTCCCTGTTCAGTTCTACAACCCATTTTTGTTTGGGTTATATTTGTCTTCTTGATTTTTTAAATTTCCTTGTATATTCTGCACACTAAATTTCTTTTAGTAATGTAGCTGATGAAGTTTTTGTTCCATCCTGTGTGGGAGTATTCAATTTATTGTTTCCTTTTCTATACAAAAGCTTTTTACTTTCCTGAGATTGTTGATGGTTGGTCTTATTTTCTAAGAACCAAAGTCTTATTCAAGAAGAACTTAGTTTACCTATGCCTACATGTCAAAGTGTATTCATACTTTTTCCTCTAGCAATTTTAGTGTTTGGGGTCTTAAATTGAAGTCCTTGGTCCATTTTGACTTTTGTGTGAGGTAAGAGATAAGGATCTAATTTCACTCTTCTGTATGTAAATAACTGATTTCCTCATACCATTTTTGAAGAGATCGTCTCTTCTCCGATGTGTACTTTTGAGATTTTTGTAAAAAATCAGGTTGCTTGTTGTTCTGGCAATTTATATTTGGGTCTTCTACTGATATATATGATTGTTTATGTGGCAGTATCATGCTTTTTTTTAACACAATGGCTCTGTAGTACAACTTAAAACAATGTTTGGTGATACTTCCAGCGCTATTTGTGGAATTGACATTCTCTACAGAAATTTTGCTTATTTTTAATTTAAAAACTTTTTCAGTGGAAAGACAATGCTTAGTTTTAAACATTAAAAGTGTACAAGTTATTTTGTTACAATGAAACTAAATGTATACACAAAGGATTTGATGCTTTTCTCTCAGAATAAATGTGACCTTCCACATTTGAACTGTACAATGTATCATGTCAAACTTTGTCTCTCTAACGTCATAGTTTCTGTATGCACTTTTCAGAATGATCTCAGGGCCATGTGGATTGAGTAAAGGGATGTGAGTAGTGGCTTAATGTCTCCATAGCTGTGTAACACGGGTAAATTTTCATGCCGTGGCATTGTACCCTTGATTTTTTAAAAATCTCATTTGGCATTTAAATAAATGGACCTTTAGTTTCCTGGATATTGTAATAACTGCACCTCCTACATCCATCACACACACCTGTGGCTCCAGTGCTGGCTGTACATGGGATAACTGGAAATGAAAACCGATGAAGAAGATGGGCTGTCAGTGTAAGAAGTCTGTATTGGTGGTTAGGAGTACTTTGTCTCTTAAGTCCCAGGTTATCACCAAAGTTACCAAATGTGATAGTGTGAATATGGGTGGGCTGAAGAACACTGCTCAATGTCATAATGCAGAGACTATTATTTTGGGAAACTACTTAATGCATAGCTCTATCAAGCTGAAATCAAATGCCAGTTTTTCAGGGAGGAATAATGGACAGTCTGGTCAAATTCAAAGCTTTTTGATATACACAACTTTATAAATTGAACGAGTCTATCAATAGGCAAAGTGAAACAATAGCTGTCTAGACAGATAGTATGCAGTTTCTGCAGAGATCTCATGTATATTCTAGATACTATCTCTCTGTCAGTGATATAATTGGTAAAGATTTTTTCCAATCCTGTGCATTGCCTCTTTAGTCAAATGATGGTGTCTTTTGTAGTACAGAAGCTTTTGAGTTTCATCAGGTCCCATTTGTCAATTGTTGGACTTAATGTTTGCACTTCTAAGAGTCCTGTTCAGAAAGTCCTTTTCCGTAGTCACTTCCTTTGTCACTTAAGGACTACAGTGCTCTGCTAAGAGCTAACAGACTTCTTCAGGGATTGATGATACAGAGGCTGAAATTGGGGGTGGGGAGTGTCTGCTCCCAGGAGGCTGAGAAGACTAATAAGGACACCTGACTTCTGGAATGCTGGGAACAGGCTGCCACATCCCTCACCCTGTTGTGCATGCATCAAAGGAGGTCTGTCATCATGGCCTTGGGCACACTGTGCAGTTTTCTTATTTCAGTGATAGAAAAAATTTCCATGTGTGTTTTGCACTGCTTGAGCATTTATCATGTATAAACTTTGTGTGAACTTCCAACACTAAGCTTCCTGAACAAAACCTTCCCAGGAGGGCCGTAAAGCCTAGAGGCTCTGGTTTGAACTTCGATTCCTTGGTACCAGTGACAGCAGTGCATCTGCACTTTTCTGTGCCTATAAATTCCAAGTGTTCCCTACTTTCTCCTCTCTCTAATTCAGGGTTTCAGGTCTTATGTTGCATCTTTGATGCATTTGCAGTTGAGTTTTGTGCATGGTGAGAGATAGGGATCTAGTCTCATTCTTCTACATGCCTCTAGTAGGTTTGACCAGCACTATTTATTGAACATGCCATCTTTTCTCAAACTTGTGGTTTCTTTGTCAAAAATCATATGGTTGTAAATGTGGGGATTTAAACCTGAGTCTTCAATTCTGTTCCACTGTTCAATGCATCTGTTTTTGTGCTAGTACCTTGCTGTATTTATTACTATAGCTCTGTAGTATAATTTGAGATCAGAGATGGTAATGCTTCCAGCAGTTCTTTTATTGTTCAGGATCATTTAGACTATTCTGGCTTTTTTGTGTGTTCCCACATGAAATTTGAGTTTATTTTTTCAGTTTCTGTGAAAATTTTTTTTCAGAATTTTAATGGACACTGCATACATGAGCTGTAGAACAACCAAGGAGAAATCAAGCTGGGATTGACTCCAAAGCCTTCTCTCTCCTGGCTAGCTTTCATAGTGCTGGAAGGTGCTATGCATGACACAAGAAGGAAAAACAATCATCAACCTTAGTCAGCTGTGAATACTGTGAACAACAAACAACTGGACTGGCAAGATATTCCCACGGGTGCAATAATGGCACAAATATTATGGGGAGGAACTGACCACTTTGTAATTGGATTTAAGGTCCATTTCATAGGATGGAGCCCATACCTGACTTTGATGCCAGACCTAGAAAACTGAGGCTAGAATGGTCACAGGACACAAGGGAGAACCTAATACTAGTTTTCTACTAGACAGATATAGTATGAAACTGACTCTTAATGAATTATTGTTATAATGCAGTTATAATACAAGTATTGGTATAATGAATGCATCTCTCAACTCTCATCAGAGAAGTTTCCTTATGCAGCAGGTAGTGATTAATACAGAAACCCTCAACTGGCCAATGTTCAGCGAATGAGACTACAGAATGCTTGTCCCTGAATATCACACTATATCAAACTTCTGCCTCTCAAGGCTGAGGGATCATTGTAGAAGAGGGGGCAGAATGATTAGAATAGCCAGAGGTATTGGGTGACCTCAAGTGAACAGAGTTCTTCAGATAGCTGGTCAGTTACTCATATGAACTCACAACAATCATGACAGCATGCAGAAGTCCTACACAAGCTTAAACCAGACAAAATCCCAGCATAAACATGAGGAAGTGGTTAAGAAACCCCAACCCTACCTAAGGAACTATTGGCAACTGATAGTTGCTTGGGAGGGGGAGAATCAGTCTCTTGCAAGGATTTGACCCTTAGGAGGTTAACCAGGCTCCAGAGACATTTGGGGACACTAATTAGACATTATAGGCCTCATTATATATAGTGATGTACATTAAAATGGGCAAGGGAGAGTAAGGGGAAGTGTGGGTTGGGGATCGAATACTATCAAATTATATTTTATGAAAATTGCAAAAATTCAGTTAAGCACAGTAAAGGCTTACTGAACACTACCTTGATAGCACAGGCGTTAAGACCAACAGTTGATAAATATTACCTCATGAAACAAAATACCTTCTGAATAACAAAGGACATCATCACTGAATTAAGAGGCAGCCTGTAGAATGGGAAAAATCTTTACCTGCTACATTCTGACAGAGAGTTAGTATCTACAATGCACAAAGAGACCTTGCAGAAATTACATACTATCCAAATAGATTTTGGTTACACTTTACCTATTAATGATTGATAAAGTTTTAGACATTAAAAACCTTTGAATTTGACCAGACTGTCCATTATTCATCCCTGAAAACTGCCATTTAGTCTCAGCTCCATTTCACAGCTTAAAAAAATCTATGCATTTCCATAGTTTCTCCAAATATTCTCTACATTATGGCATTGAACAGACAGTGTGTTTCACCCCACCTAGGTTCACACCGACACATCTGGTAATTTGTATTTCATGCCTGGGACTTAAAGAGAAAAAGTACTCCTAACCACCAATATGAATTTCTTACTCTGACTGCCCATCTTTCTACAGAATGAAGTATAAACCTGTTCTTGTAGATGCCAGAATCCTGTTTTTGTACCTCTGTCATTCTCCACTGTTAACAATAACTCTTATTTCTATAAGAATTGCTTCATATGGAATATGGCATCCTGCTACTGAGCAGCATGCAGAATTTTGACTTCTTAATATCAGAGTACTCAGTATACCACAGCAGACAGTTAAGACAAGTGAATAAGAAATTGACAGTTAGGTAGGGTTCTTTAAGGTAGGCAAGGCTTGGGAACCAGGAAAAGAATCTACAGGTCAACATCAATGAAATAGCTCTTCTTTATGTCAGAGATGATCTCATGAACTGTTTTAAAATTTTATTTAATCAACTGAGCTTTGACAGGCAAGTTAAAATAAAACATTAAATTTCTTTACATCCAGGGTCATGACTCAGCAACAATCTATCACAGACCAATTCTTCAAGACTTTTTTTCCAGTTTGCTTTTTTTGTTTTTAATTAACCAAACTGCAGGTTTAAATCGGATTTGCACTATTTCAGAGTCCAAACCACAGTTTCCTTTGCCTTACTTTAGGAGGAATAGAGTCCAGTGCTTGCAAGGTGCAAAGACTGGGTCAGGCCCCAACTCATTAAGCTTATTTGTGATTGGAGAGCAGAGGACTGTGGGCCTCCGCATTGCCTCTGCCATAGTGGTAGTTCAGGTAGCGGCCTGCCTGCATGCTTTGTGCCACCACGTTGGTGAAGTGGCATGCCATCAGCAGATAGTTTCGGGGCTGGACCCGGTAGGCAAAGCGCATGAAAGCCATGGAGTAGAAGATGAGCGCTGTAGTCATGCGGCCACTGATGATGTCTGGTGACGCCTTCATGTCCTGAAAGGTGGCCAGTGGAAGTCCCCAGTTGGCCACAGGACCCCAGAAGTGGGTGCTGGTCAGATAATTCTGGAATTCCTTGGTATTCACGTAGTCTAGTGTCTTGTGCCATAGCGCTGTTGCTCCGACCATGGTCACTTCCGCAGTAAGAGTGCCAACTGCCTAGCTGCCAGCCAACAATGGAGCAAGGAACGCTGCCACGCAGCTGACCCCGAGTCACCAACGGCCAGGGGTCTCGTGCTTTCTCAAGCGTCTCTCTCTCCTTTCTAAACTCGGCTTAGTTCTTATCGAATAACCACAATAGCCTGGGATGCTGTTTAAGGTTTTTACTATAGCGTGATAGGTGTCCCGTATTTGTGTATAGGAGACTGACCATCACAGCATTTCAAAGAGGGTCACAGAGACACATTCTGCAGTGTTTTGCAGGTGTCTCTTATTATCAAGTCAGTGGGAGGGAAATTTCCCTCTTTGTTTTGATCCCCAAGTCAGGTGGACCTCTGGGGACAGGCACACTGACCTTTTCCAGGGGGCAGGGCCCTGGTGCTGTGATGTTCCAGAGCAAAAAAATGTAAGGCATCTTACTACACAGCAGGAACCACCCTGTAGCAACTTTAGATAACATCATATGACATGGAGAAGGAGGATTGCTGGTCACAAGATTTCCCCTACTATATTTAGACAATTTTTAATGCATCCTGTAATAACATGTATTTTATTCACAAAGACTTTTTAAAAAAATATGTATTATTTTTATTTTATGTGTATGAGTGTATTGTCTGCATGTATGTGAGTGCACCCGTGTCCTGCAATGCTGTGGAGGTCAGAAGAGGGCTTTGGATTCCCCTGGAACTGGAGTTAAGGATGGTTTGTAGCCACCATGTGGGTGCTAGGAATCAAACTGGGTCCTTTGCAAGAGCAGTCAGCCCCTTCACAGAAACTTTTAAATTTTTTATTATTTTTATTTTTGCATATGAATGTACTGTTTGCATGTATGTAAGTGCACCTGTGTTGTGTAATGCTGCTGAAGTCAGAAGAGGGAGCCGGATTCCCCTGGAACTGGAGTTATGGACAGTTGTTATCAGCCATGTGGGTGTTGGGAATCCAACCCAGGTCCTCTGCAAGAGCAACCAGTAGTCTTAACCACTGCGCCCTGGCCAACCTCCATAGAGACTCTTGTTAATTCAAGGTAAACATTTTTTCTCCATCACAACTGGCCCCCAACTATAGATATCAGAATAGGTCATGTACTTTTCAGTTCTCCAGAATAGAGTCTGATTGCACAGACTCTTGAGTGACATGACAAACCCCACGGCATGATGGAAACATTTAAAGCATTCTTGCCTTGTATATCCATACATTTTGACCTCAACTAAAAGGTATGAGCTCCCCTGGGTAACCAAAGGACTAACCATCTGTTAAGAACACAAACACTATTATTATTTTGTTATTGCTTGTTTTTGAGACAGGGTCTCTCTGTAGCCCCAGCTGACCTGGAACTCACTATGTAGACCAGGATGGCGAGGAACTCACTATATAGAACAGACTGGCCTAGATCTCACAAGAGATCCACCTGCCTCTGCCTCCCAAGTGCTGAGATTAAAGGCGTGCACCACCACACCTGGCTAGGGATTGTCCTTTTAAAGTATGGTTCATGTTTTCCATCTTTCCTGAGGCTGGGGCCCTCCAGATCCAGTGGGGTTCTCCTTTGACTCTGAAGTGTTTATCATGGGAAACAAAAGCAGTCCCAGTGTCACTGTGACTACTATTAAGCATTCCAAAATGAGAGACAGTTCCTCTCAGCGGGGTCTTAATTATTTCTGTGGCCTTTTCAGTATATGTGGTAAATGCTTCAACCTATGCTGAGAAGGAAATCAATGCAAACCAACATACTTTGGAACCCTCTAGAATTTGGTATCTAAGCAGTCAGTCTTTGAAAGGGGGATAAGCTTTCATATTGTTCTAAAAGTTTTGGTGAGGCTCAGACTTTGGCTTATTCCCTCCCTCCCTCCCTCCCTCCCTTCCTTTCTTCCTTCCTTTCTTTTTCTTTTTCTGACAGGGTCTTCCTAGTCCCAGCCATGCTGGAAGTCACTATGTGGATCAGGCTGGCCTCTATTTCCCAGAGATCTGCCCGCCTCTGTCTCTTGAGGGCTGAGATTAAAGGTACATGCCACCAATCCCAGCAGTTTATGATTTACCCCTTTCCCCATCAGCACTCTTCCATAGACCTCCTCACGGAATTTCATGTATTCTCTCATTTTATGTTAAGACCTATGGAGTCAACTTAGTGTTCCCAGACATCCCTCAGTGCAAGTTCATCCACTGGGGTCTAGTCAGCCTATCTAGAGTCACTCCTTTAAAGAAAATCTTCTCTTCCTCACCCAGCAGTAATCAGCTGCCCAATAGCTCTTTGGCTAAGATTGGGGTCTGCTGCCCATTTCCACAGTTCTATGCTGGGTCGTTGTCTTCTTTTGACAAACTATACTGCTTTCTTTCCCTATGGCTTCAGATAGTCCCTGGTCTGTAATCCACAGCTTAATGTTATTTGGAGCGCCTCTCCTAAAATGAGGAGACTCATAGGGTTTCTTAACAATTCCCACCAAGTAGCCCAGATGCAGTAAATCCCCCAACTATCGTCTTCTTTGACAGAAACAGAACAGTGGAGCTTTGCTTCTGATAAGTCACGCATGGGAATGAGTAGCTTCCTTGGTTACTTTGTCTTCAAGTATAACCTCTAGTGGATTTCAAATCACTTCTTTTGGTGCCCTAAACAATGCGCAACTACCTCCATTCTTTAGAACTTGCACAGCCTCCAGCAGTCTAAGGATTTCTGGGCCATGTTTAATTTCCCCTTTTATTGGAGGTTTCTATCAGTTTATTGAATTTTTGATCTTAGGAATTTTAATAACCTAAAATTACAGTCAATTTAGTATACTCATACAAACTTTTTGTTTTAATTTTTTACAACCTTGTTATGACATATTTTAACCTTCAGTTTTTATTTTATTTTATTATTTTGAGAATTTCATATTTCTATCAATGTATTTTGATCATAGCTCCCCAGACCCCACTAACGTCTCCTAGATACTCTTACCATGTCTCCTTCCCAAGTTCATATCTTATTCATTAAAAAAAAAATACCCTACAGAGTCCAGTCAGTGCTGTCCATCTGCAGATGAGTGTAGGGCCATGCACTTGAACATGGACAATCTGGGACAGGCTGCACTCTTGAAGAAAACTGACTTTTTCTCCCCAGCATCAATCATCTGTTAATAGCTCTCAGTTTTGGGTGAGGCCTTGTGAACTCTTCCCCCACCAATGCTGTAAACTTCACTTGTTTGATCTTGTACAGGTCACATTCAGGCAGTCACAGCTGCTGTGTGTGAGTTCAGGAGAGCCATAGTCTTGTCATTTCCAGAAGACATAATTTCACAACAGTCCTCTCCAATATTCTATAGAATATTTCTGTTCTTTCTTCTATGATGTTCCCAGAGTCTCGGGAGAAAAGGAAATATAGATATCCCACTTGGGGCTGAGCACTTCACAGTCGCTTACTTTCTTCACTTTGACTAGTTATGAATATCTGTGCTAATCACTTTCCAGTGCAATATGATTTACTGATGAGGGGTGAGAGCTAATCTATTGTCATAAGGATGAGTAATCATCAGGTAGTTTGATGCTATGTTCGTTTAGCAAAATAAAAAGAATTATGTATGTATGGTGATACATTTTTTTTTTTTTGTAAAAAAGGTTAAAGGAAAAAGAAAGAGTTTTAAATAGGGATTTTAGATTTTAAATTTATTTTGTCCTAACATAAAAAAGTTAAATAAAAAAAACAATAGAACTTTTTATACTACAACATTACTCTGTTTATCAGTACTGATATTTTTGTGGTATGTTTAGATCTTTGCAGAAACAGAATCTTGTCAGCTGCAAATAGAGATAATGCTATTGTTTTCTTTCTGGTTTGAAAAACATTTCTTTCTTTCTGTTTTGGTTGCTCTTACTAGAAATTTCAGTGCTGTGTCAGATAGAACTGCCAAGATAAGGACTAGGTTTAATACTTTTTCTCTATTTGTGATATTTCATGTGGGCTTTTCAGAACTGCTTTTCGTTAAAGTAAAATAATCTTTAATAAAAGGAAGAAATTTACTTCTATACTTATTTTTCTGGATGTTTTCAGGAAAGGTTATTGATCTTTACCACAGGCCTTTTCTATGTTTATTTAGATGATCATGTGTTTTTTCTTTTCATTTTCCTAAGTTATTATATGATTCGATTAAATGGCAAATAATGAAGTACTTTTACATTACAAGAATAAATACCACTTGGTGGTTGAAGCTTTGTTGTATTCACGTGATAATATATTTTTGAAAATTATTTATATTTTATTTTATGTGTATGACTGTTTACCTGCATATATGTTTGTTTACTATGTTGTACAAGCCTGGTGCCCACAGAGGCCAGAACAGGCAATAGCAATACCTGGACTGGAGTTATAGAGGGCCATGAAGTGCCACATGCATGATGGGAATCAAACTTGGATTCTTCCTCTGCAAGAGCCTCAAGTCCTCTAACAGTTGAACCATTTCTCCAGCTCTACATGACAATATTTTATGAGTATTTTTCTATCTACATTCAACAGACTTACTGTTCTGATGATTTCCTTTTTGGTATCTATGTCTGATTTGGCATGAGAGAAAGATGCTGGCATTATAAGTGATTGGTATATATTTCCTACACATCTGTTTATTAGGATTCAGGAGGGCTCATTATCAATTTTCATTATAATGCATACTTGCTAGAATTCAACCATGAAGCTGTCTGTCCTGATCTTTCCTTTGTTGGAACGTTAGATCGATTTAATCTCTTTATTTGTAATTGGTCTATTTAGTATTTCAATTTCTTTTTGATTCAGATCTGGTTGACTGTGTTCCTATGAATTTACCATTTTTTCTAGGATTCAAATGTGTTGCCATTGTATTTTCTACAATGGTCTCCTGTGGTCCTTGGAAGACAGTCAGGCTGTTTTTATCTTCACAATGTGTGACAAGTACTTCTGACATTTCTCTATATGGTCCTTTTCTTTCTGAGGTACTCATTGTGCAGTTCCTTAACTTTAACTTCTGATGTTA